AAAGTGCAGCTATTTCTYGAGTAAGCTTGGAGCTTTTTCCTCCTTCTTTGTATGTTTGTGCTTTCAGCCCTCTCAGGGYTCTAGAGTTAAAACCAGTTTGAGTGACATAAACCCAAGCACCTCACAGACTATCTAGCTTTCAATATTTTTCCAAGAAGTTGAAAGTGCTGGAGAGACATAGCTGGACTTTGTGGACCTGATGCATTGCCTCTTTTTGTCACTTTTGCTGTCCTTTAATTCCATCCATTTTTCTGTATCTAGGCCTTTGCTATATGTAGAGCTGAGATTTATTGCCATATTAGCAGGTGTTTAAAGGAGTTTACTCCCTGCAGCAACCACATCCACTGACAGAAACAAAACATATTGTAACACGTTCATCGAGCCACACAGTGCAGGCTGTCATGCCAGGTAATCTATTTATAATGAGCTTTGCACTTGTAAAAGGAGGCTGTTTGTCAGCCCTAAAATTAAAGCTGCCTCTTCRTATGGTGACGGAAAAACTATAGTTCACCAAGGTGATAATGAAATTTTATGGGAACATCATATAGGGCCACAGAGTTTCTAAACCCTTTTTGTCATTCAGCTATCCTGCTTTTCAGAGATAGCCAGCAGCTGTGCCACCTGTGCAGGATGACTATCCCTTGATCTTTACAACTGTCAGAAAGCAAAGCAGGAGTGATAACATCTGCTTCCCTCAATCAGTTAAGAGCCACTGAAATCTAGGAGGTGTTGATTCTTTCCAACTTTTGACAAACTGTCGAAATGTTTGTAAAAAAAGTGTTCTGTAAACTCTTTTCTCAACTATTTGCTTTCCCTCTAATGTTTAAAATAGAGGATGCTAAAAACTTGGAAATTAGGGTTATCCTCCTCARCACCCCCCTCTTGGTGTTCAGAACRCATGAAGAAATGCAGCAATGAAAATGCTCTTAAAGTTTGTGTAGCTWCAAGGGTTGTGAGTATTTGTTTCACCTAGGCTGTTCTCCCTTATCCTGCTTACCTAATCAAGCTTTTCTAAAAAAAGACACTTTTCGCCTCAAGCCATGCTTGCTCAAATCCASTGTTGTGAATGTTAGCTTAGTCAGTGGTGAACTTCAAAATGCAGTCATGGTTGCATTTGATAGCTAATTAAAATTACAGGATTTTCTGCCTAGAGTAAGAAGCTTAGAGAAGATTGATGCATCATACYAAAATTTATAGCAAATTTTTGGGTGTGTTTTTAGTTTTAATACTTTTATATTTTCATGTTTAGAACACAGAAAAATCTTTTCAAATTTTATCATAAAATAAAGGTGGTCTCAGTTTGATCTGTATTACTCAGGAGACTAAACTTTAGAAATGCTATTGCATTTTTTTGGTGCTCTTCTCTTTCTCRTTCTTTCTGTGCCCACTTTTTCCTGACTCTAAGACCTTGGGTCACTGCTCTGACCAGGTTTTCCCCTTTTGTGGCTTGTGGACAATTTTTTTGATGCATCACGAAAGCATGTAAAGGGTGAAGAAGCAGTTTGTAAGGAGGGGTCTTTTCCCTCCCATTCTCCTCAGAAAGAATATAAGTGACCTTTAAAAAACCCTAACAAATCAACAGCTGAATTTATTATGCTAGAAATAGCTGATCTGGACGTCAGGATGCCTGTGAATATTGCATTTAGCTTGGAAGATTTTGAAGTTTAATGCTGTTCTGAAATCCCTTAAGACTGCATGWGTTTTGTGTTTGGACTAGCTACCAAGAAAGCAAATATACATTTTGGCATTTCACTTCTACTAGCTTGTAAAGCCAAAATCTATTGCCCTTATGTCCTTAGTTCTTCCAGTGTTTTTTTTTTTTTTTTTTTTTTTTTTTTTTTTTTTTTTTTTTTTTTTTTCCTTTCCTATCTTCCAGACAAAATCAGCACTACAAAGCCCTTCCCTCTCTCCTTCTGCCTCTTTATGTGGGTATATGAAACCATTTCTCCTAATTCATATGTGGACACTGTAAACTTTACGTCCAGTTCTTGTATTTTGCTTACTTTTCTTAGCTCAGTTAGGTTTTTTCTTTTTTATTGTAACTTTTATTAGTTTTATCATTTAAGTTGTTTTGCTTCTGTCATGGTCTCTTCCTTGTACTCTGTTTTTGTTTTCTTTGTTTTGGTGTGCTTGTGTGGCTTCCAAAATTACTTTCCTTAAATTTTTGTCCTTTCATCTACTTTAGGTTTTCTTTGAGTTTCCTAATTTCTATTTTTACCTGTTCTCYTTCTGCCTTACACTACTGATCTTTTTGTGTAACATTTACAAAAGGAAGTAGTGGCTTATAAGGTGATCCTGTGCTGTCTTCCTTTCTATGTCATCATCTACTTTGACATCGTGGTATCATTCCTTACTTTCCTCCCCTTCAGAGTTGCCTTCTACCTGGTACTTGCTGCTTCTGTTCTTTTGTTTATGTAAGTGGCTACCCTTTGCCATCCAATGTCAACAAAATATTTCTATCACCGTCTTCATACCCCAGAACATGACTGATATTCCTATCGCACCTCGGTTACTGGTTATTTTGTCATTATATGAAAATCACTTGTCCCTTCATTGTCTTCCTGTGTTCCTGTGGAGTGATTTATGTTACTGCTCACTGCAATGGAACCTATCTTTTCATTTTTGTTTATTCCCATTTTTAAGATCTTTGTGTGYCTACATAAATGGCCTCAAGTTGTCCTGGGAGGGGGTTTAGAGTCACAGAAATGGTTGTGAAGCATTGGAAGAGACTACCCAGGAAAGTGGTGGAGTCATCATCCCTGGAACTCATTAACAAAACCTGTAGATTCAGGACTCTGAGGACATGTTTAGTAGTGAAAATGGTTATGGTGATAGGTTGATGTTGGACATGATGATATTAAAGATCTTTTCCAACCTTAATTCTAGGAGTCTATACATATGCATAATACGTCCCAGAAAGTTACCRAGCACTCATAAAAACATTTTTCACAAGTTCCATTTGTTTAGAATATCTCACTCTTGTCTTTGTTTGAAAAACAATTAGTTTATATTGTTTAGTGTTCACCATAATTTTGAAGTTTAACGAAGCTGACGTTAAAAACAGCCTTTTCTGTGCTCTAACACTAATGCTTATGTACTACTTTCTCCCATTTCAGAACCAAAAGGTGTTGTATTTAAGCCCTTTGGTTTTCTTTAAAAACATTATTACTTCCATATAAAATCTTTAAGGTTGTTTTCTGAGTTGCAGCTGTATTTCTGTACAACTATTGCCCTGTGTTCTCAAAAGACACAAACTTGGATGAAAATGTCATATGTCCTTACACAAAGGTCTGGTTACTGGAGACAAAACTCCCTGGTCTCCTGAAGGAGTTTAGAAAATGAAAACACAAARCTTCAGCGGGATGACAAACAATATTTCTTATTTTCTTGAGTTGACCTGTAGTGCACCATTAAAATTTACCATTCAGTATCACAACAACTATACATTGATGGATTATGATTTTGTTTAGATAACATGTAGAGAGTGAGGGAAATACTTCTGAACAAAATAGGTTATGAATTCTGCATGAAGTGTCTGAAAACAGACACAGAGTCTCCTTGATAATGGAAGAATATGTTGACCTTTGTGGAGAAAGGGAAATGGCTTAGAATGTTGCACAATTTAATTAAAGTGTCATCTACTTGTATAAAATTGACTTTATATCCCCTAATGAATGCATAAAACTTTCCAGGAAATTTTCTCTTGTAACATCACAAGGAAATTATTGATAAGTAGCCTTTAGCTTTGCATTCATGCCACATCAAAATTTCATTTTTTTAGCTCCCCTTTCCTTCCCATGCCTTGATATTTGGTTAGAGGCCTTTGAAAGTGTATGTGTGMTCAGTCACTCATCATCATCAAAGCCCAGCAAAACAGCTCGTCCTTATGGACATTTGAAATAAAGCCAGTCTTAGCAAGGAGATTGCTTGCAAGAATTGCCAACAAATTAGATGAATTTTTAGAGTGGATATGAAGCCTGGTTAAACAAAYATTTCATTTCTTTAGCAGCTGATTGATTGATTCCAAACAATAAAGCTGTGCCATCTGGTCCTTAAAATACAAAGCAACATTACACATTCCTTTTATTAAGTATTGCATAGGAAAATATTTATATAACTCAGCATTTATATATATATGCACATATATATATATACAGAAATTTATATAAATTATGTTCTACTTTTTCTTAGCATAAAATTATTCATATTTAATACACATAATTTTGTACAAAGACTACATTTCTAATACGGAARTTACTTGAAAAGTTTTATCTATAATGCTTATTATTACCTCTGTTCTATTAATCATAAACCAATTAGACAAACAATTTTATGACTTGAAATAGAATTCAGTATTCAAGGAAAAATTGAAACAAACCCCTTGCTAAATCACTTAAATTTATTCCAGCAAATATTGTGACACTTCAGACCCTGCTGGAACAGAGAATCAGTTCTGTATGTATGTAATAGAGAAATTTCATAGTTTTGAAATTCAGTGTCATTCTGAGTTGTAATAACACAAGAAAAATTCCAAAATTTGCACAGAGAAACACCAAAAGAGCTTGAGTTATCTCTCACAAACAATCTTAAGGGTAAAAATATGTTGTATCAGTTGAAGTGATAGAAACTCAACTGAGACCATAAACAAAGATATGAACTTTACTTTCAAAAATGGTTTAAATACACTCTTGAAAATTTTGGTTTTCCTCCATCTCCCCAAGCTGTTAGAATTCTCTTCCTATTCTTTCTTTCTCTCGCATTACAAAAAAAAAAAAAAAAAAAAAAAAAAAAAAAAGAAAAAAAAAAAGAAATTATATGCCTCAAGCTTTTAATCACTTCTGTAATTTTTAAAAGATGTTTTGTTTTCTGTGAACATCAGTGACATCGCTGTAGTGTCAAAGGTTTATTTCTCTATAGATGCATAGGATCAATTCGGTGTCATTATGTTTTTTTTCTTCAGGTTATGAAGATCTTTAKTGTTCTGTTTTATTTCATTTCAGCTATTTATGAACTCTCTTGTGAAGCATACAAACACTTGGGCAAGACTTCAAATTACTACTGGATAGATCCAGATGGCAGTGGGGCACTGGGACCTTTGAAAGTTTACTGCAACATGACAGGTAACTGTACTGTATTTACTAATTCTGTTGATTGGGGGATTGTGGGATTTATTTTTTTGGTTTTAAAAAAATGTAGTTAGAAGTAAGAGGCTGTTTATAATTCACATTTCTTGTAAAAAGAAAAATAATTACTAAGAACTTTTCATGACAGGGATCATCAAATCTGCAGTCACCATTCAGGATAGTTTGAGCAAGGCAGTAGTTAATCCATTTAATAAGCTTTTTGAATTGTACCTATTAGTCATTGTAGGTCTTTGTATCCTCGGTGTTATGTCATTAAAAAAAAAATTAAAATAAACAAAAAGTCAATAGATATGGCTATCTACCAGAAATGTTGCATATCAACATAGTGGAGTTCAGTAGTATCTGTGATTCATGGGGTATTGCAGAAGGCAGCTTTCCAGCACAGACAGGGAATAGAAATTAATTACAAATGAAACAAAACATTGGAACTTATTGTCTGTTTTGTTTTTTAAACTAGATACATCTTCTTAACACCAGTTAAACYCTGGAGTTAATATATGTCACTACATTAACATATTTTTATTTTTTTGGGTGTACTGTTTCATGTTTTCAAGACTAGTTTTGTGTTCTTGCTAAAAGTATCCTATCTTAATCATCTGTGTCGCCATGCTGAGGTAAGAAAACCTGAAAATGAAAACCAGCAATTTTCTGCATTGAGAGTATATTATTTCTTTGTTCTGATAATACATAGCAATTGTCTCAGCCCTTTTTCTGATATGAAATATTGGGTAGCTGATAAAACAAACATGTACTCTGACTTTCCCCAAATGTCTGCATAACAAGTTTGAATTTCATCCTGTTTGCGTTGGAAATTTGGCCAATGCCTGAGTGCATCATCYGCAACATGAAGGTGAAGGCGCTATCATAGAAGCAACAACTCTGACTTTTTAGAGATCACAGGTGCTGAAGATCCCACAACTCCTTTGAAGGCAGAAACCTGGATATATCTGGACCTGGGCGGGGAGGAGGGGTATGGTTTATCCGGCTTGGATGGAGAAATGGAGAGGGATGCATGGCACATGCAGCAAATCCCAGAACAAGTGCTCACAACCTGTTGGAGAGAAGGAGGATACACTGTTCCATGTTTCCATTAATGTCAGTGTTTGTATAATAAATTCATATCTAAAAAGAAGCCTGATCTAAGATCTGGAAGTGTTGTCAATCCTGTTTGGACTGGAGAGACAGGCCAGGCAGTCTGTTCTGAGACACAGCTGTAAAGGAAACTTCCAGATCCTGAGCCATTTAGAGCTTTTTAAACCATAACTAGTACCTTGACCATGATCAGCAACTAATTGGGCAGGCACTGCAGGAAACAAGGGCAAGAATGGAGTCATTTAAGTAATTTCTGCTATTCAGAACTGCTATGCTTAGTGCTAGCTATAGGTTTTGGTTACTCTTCAAGGGTAATTTTGTAAATTAAGAAAACACCACCCTAGTGGTGTTAGATACAGAAAAGAATATCCATCCAGTGCTGCAGCATTGCTCATTCATGTTAARTATAAAAATACAAAAAAAGGTCCTGGTAGCTTTTTTAACACTGGGGAAAAAGAGATAAGTAAAAGTAATAATTTCATTTTACTAACATTTCTCATCTACAAAACTATTTCAGAGTACATAAATGTGACCTTTTGCAAACCAGTGCAAGGAGATCGTGAACACCAGGATACATGAGTTAATTCTCATTCCCTTCATTTGGATATGATGCATGCTGTGGAAAAATGCATCTGTTTTAACCAGATTGCTCTCATCAGCAAGTCTTTGCTACAAGAAAAAGTCAATTTGCACTAAAATCCCTATAAATATTCCCATTTTAAAAATAAAAACCTAACAAAGCTCTTTCTTCATTGCAATGCAAATGACTGCAACAGGTATGAGAAAATTGATAGAAAGTAATTTTAATCTCTGCTTCTAAAACTGACAGTTGCTCTCAGCTGAGTAAAGTTCATCCTCTGTGTACATAATGTATAATATCTATACATTGCAGCTGTCACATTGTCTTTTTCTTTTAATCAGTGGTTATCTGAGGCACTAAGACTTGGGGGTAAAGAGCCATAATTTTAGGAGAAATTTCACAACACCCTAAAAGTTTTTCTTAATCTATATATGGTATTATCAGCCACGCCCATACCAACGAAGGGAAGGAGGTTACTTGAGGACTTTGCTTCATCAATAACACAGTTCTGTAAAACTCTGTAGTAATGATTCATACCTTGCAATATAACAAAAAGCACTATAGCATGCTAGAATAAGAGCAGAGTTCTCAAARAATTTTAGTATCCAGGTTGTGCATGTCTATGATATTGCTAAAATTATATTTGAAAAAAAACAGCTGAATTACAATTATTTTTTTTGAAACATAAAACTAAGTAACCTACAGGTTTAGATATACTGATTGATATGTGGGCTGTATTAAATAAAAAAGAAATCCTCATATGGCAAAGTAGTGAGATTTTATTTTAATAGAGACATCCTTAACTATATTTTCCTCACTAGTCTGAGTCAAATCTAAATGTTTCTATTCTCTCATTRTGTTAAGCAAACATCTCTAGATTAAATTACTACTTGAGCTACTAATGCACATTTTAAAGGTGCCTTCTTTCATTCAGAGAAAACTAACAAGTAAAGACCATTTTAATTACTAAAAATGTAATGTAAAGTACAACTTGCTAGTTCTGTTCCTAGACAAAGCAAGTCTGCAGTTAGGGTTATTGACAAAGTTAATACCAATCTTTGCAGAACAAGATGGTTTAACWGTTGTGTACTACTTTCACACTTACTGCAGTACAGGTTTGCTGGAGCAAAATGTTGCATAGTAAGCTGCACTCTCACTTGACTGCAAGATTTCTGGGGCAAGGACAATATCCTGAAAAGCCACTGAAGTTGCTTGTTGAGAAATTATGTCTTTAGCCCTTTAATATATTGTATCACAAATATTGAGCTACAAATTTCATAATTTTATCCTTATATTAGCATT